CGCGGGGGCGCCCGCCCCCCGGCTCCCCCCGAGCCTTTCAAAGCCGCGGAGGGGCTCCGCTCCGGCGGCGGGGCATCCGGCGTACAAGACGACCCCCGATTTTTGGGGGATTTTTTTAACATCAGAGGTCGTCTTGTACGCCGGAATATACGGTATTTTCTCCACAGCAGATACCCTGGGGGGGCACCAAAAGTGTGACGAGCCAGTTAACTCCGGAGGGGCACAGGGAGCTATTGGTCAGATAACTGCAAGGTGGCATGGGAGGGAAGGCAAATAGGGGCAGAGGGCAGATGACTGTGGAGGGCCTGGCAGGTGGGGCTGGAAAGCAGGCATTGAGGCAACCTCATGGGGGCCACGTGGAGTCTCTCGCCCCATGCTGCTCCCCCCTTTCTCTCCCCTCTAGGCACAGCCATCTGGTGGCACAGCAGGCCGGGCTGGAGCAGCGGGAGGCAGCCCTGCGGGGGGAGCGAGAGCGGCTGGAGGGGGCTGAGCGGGAACACCGGCAGCTGGGGGAGCATCACGCCCGGCTGCAGGAGGAGCATGCACGGTAACTGGGGGACCGTGAGATGGGGGGTTCCTAGCAGATAGGAGGTAATGGGATATGGGGAAGTGGGAGATGGGGGCTAGCACTGGGTTCAGCGTATGGACTTCCCCCTCGGAGCCCCCCCATTGACCCCTTGCCCCACACAGGGTGCAGGCAGCGCAGCTGGGGGAGCATCACGCCCGGCTGCAGGAGGAGCATGCACGGTAACTGGGGGACCGTGAGATGGGGGGTTCCTAGCAGATAGGAGGTAATGGGATATGGGGAAGTGGGAGATGGGGGCTAGCACTGGGTTCAGCGTATGGACTTCCCCCTCGGAGCCCCCCCATTGACCCCTTGCCCCACACAGGGTGCAGGCAGCCCCGGCAGCGGCCGAGCGAGCACAGGCGGAACAGCAGGGGGAGCTGCGGGGCCTGCGAGGTCGGCTGACAGGGCTGCAGCTGGAGCAGGCGCGGCTGGAGGCGGAGGGCACTGCCCTGCGGGAGCAGAACCAGCAGCTGGAGATGGCACTGGGCCGGATCGGAGACCAGTGTGAGGTATACAACCTCTGGTACTCCCTAACCCCACCCCAGCCTGAACCCCTCAGGTCTTGCCCAGAGCAAGGTGCACAACCCTGCTGCCCCCAGTTCCACTCCTGGCACCCCCCAGCCTGAGCCCCCCACAAACACACACTGCCCAATGCCTTTGTCTACCTAGCCCTGCTCTCCCCAATGCACCCTCCATAGCCGCCGGCCATGAATCCTCAGGCCTGGTGCTCTGGATCAGTCCCTGGGAGGGTCCCTCCAGTGTGTGAGCCCCCAGGTGGATCATGCTACAGCAGACCTCTCGCCTTCACCGCCTCCTGGGACCAAACCTTGGAGCCTACAACAGCCCTGGGTCGCACTGTGAGCTCCCCTGAGCGAGTCCATCTAAACTGAACACCTGGGGAAGACCTGCACCCCCCAAAGGGAGCAGCGCAGCCCTGGCTTCCCCAAGGTGCAGTGACTCAGCCAGCGGTGGAACTGCGAGGGGTTTGTTAGGCATCTGGAGCACAGCCTAGAAAGTGCTTCATTAACAGAGAGAACAGAAAGTTACAGCAAAGTCCATCCGGGTCACTCCAGAGCCCCCTGGCCCCTTTAGACACAGTTCAGCAGTGGCCCCCTGCCTTCAACAGCCCACCCATCACCCCATCTGACCCCTCCCCAGACCTTTGTCTTTCAGCTGGTCACACCCTGCTGGCTTCCTAAGGAGGTGGCCGTCCATGGTCCTTGGTCACCAGGTGCCGAATACCTGGGCAATTAGGGTGGCCATTCTCCATAGGCATTGGTCCTGACCCCAGGAATCACATGCAGTCTCTGGGTCTCTGCAAGGAGCAACCCACCTTTGCCCAACCTAATTAAACCAAGGCTCCCTCACACCTTCCACAGCTCCGCTCCCCCTGCTCCAAGCTAACAATGGGGACTGGTCCCCCCTGAAGCCCTGATCAGAGAGGGTTTCAGCCCAGAGGGCCATGGCCTGTTCTATTAATACCTCTGCTGCGCCCTCCCCCCCAGCTCCTGGCCCAGCTGAAGGGGAACCAGGAGGAGGAGAACCGACACCTGCTGCAGGAGATCCAGAAACTGAGCCAGGAAAACCGCACCCTGCTGGAGCGCAGCATGGAGAGCCGGGAGCAGTACCACTCGGAGCAGCGCCAGTACTTGTGAGTGCCCCCCACCCTCTGCCAGACCCCCAGCACCCTATGCCACTGGAGCTGAGTGTGGAGAGCCAGGAGCAGTACCACTCAGAACAGCACCTCCGAGTGCCCAGATGGGAGGCTGGCAGCATGTGCTTGGGGCTCCCTCGGGCCCATGGGGCAGGTGTGCAGGGAGGGGGGCAGATGGGTGATTCGGGGCACATGGCAGTCTGGATGGGGAGTACAGGAGGAGGGAAATCACCCCCAGACCCTGCTTGGTTCTTGCTCCCCAGGGACAAGCTGAACGAGCTGCGCCGGGAGAAGCAGAAGCTGGTGGAGAAGATAATGGACCAGTACCGGGTGCTGGAGCCAGCACTGCCCAAGAGCAAGTGAGTGTGCCCCCGCCCGCCCCAGGCTGGCCCCCGCCTCAGCCAAGCTGCAGTGCCCTCCCACTGCCATGGACTCCCAGGGCCAGATTAACTCTTGTGCGACCCCCTAGGCTCTACAGTGGGGTCCAAAACAAGAGGTTCAGTGTGCAGGAGCAGGCCGTGGGTTGAGGCAGGAGCGGGTGAGGGCTCCAACAGTGTGTGCCAGCTCTGGGGTTGGGCTGAAGTATTTGGGATGCAGGAGGAGGCTCCAACTGGAGCCAAGGGGGTTGGAATGCAAGAGGGGACTCAGGGCTGAGTTGCAGCATCTGGAGATAGCTAGGGGTGCAGGAAAAGGCTCAGGGCAGAGTGTGAGGTCTGGAAGGGAGTTAGGGTGCAGGAGGGGGCTCAGGGCTGGAGCACAGGCTTGGGGTGCAAGGCATTTACCCGGGGCAGCTGCCATTTGGCTTCACGCTGCCCCATGCTCACCTGAAGGCACTGCCCCCCTGCAGCTCCCATTGGCTGCAACCCCCAGCCAGTGGGAGCTGCAGGGGCAGAGGCTCCAGGTGAGGGTAATTTGGGGACAGCTTCCTGCCATTCACGGTGATGTAGCTAGGGTTGCCAGGTGTCTGGTTTTGAACCGGACAGTCCAGTATTTGAACTTTCTGTTTGGGAGACAAATTGAGAAAATAGAAATGTCCGGTGTGTTGTAAATCAGACGGAATATCGACTGTGATGTCATGTCAAGTGTGTCCGGGATTTTTGTTGAAACCGCCTGACAATCCTAGATGTGGCTCCGGCTCTGGTAGGGGGTGGGGAGGCAGTGCACAGAGCTGCTTCTTCCCCCTCCTCCCACAAGGAAGGGCTGGCCGGGATCACAGGGGCTTTAGTGGCTGCAGCCCAGGAACCTGGGCTAAGATGCCCTCTTTAGCCCAGGATGCCCCTTTCTTAATCCAGCCCTGCAGATTCCCACACCTGACCCCCAGCCAAGAATCCTTCCCTGCCACCCTGGGCCCCCCATTATCTGAAACAGACCAAGCCACCAACGCTGGCCCAAGGCAGGGGACTCCCTTATACCCCAAATTTGGGACACCCCCCCTAGAGCCTACGACCCCCCAAGGCCTAGTCTGAGCCAGGGACCCTCACTGCCAGTTGACCAGAGTGCCCCTGCATGGGCCAGTGTGGGGGGGTGGAATCCCCCAGGATACATATCAGGGCTCACCTAGGCCCCCCAGCATGTGACTCTCACTCTCCACCCCACAGGAAGAACAGCAACTGGATTGCAGACAAGATGAAGAAGCTGATGAAGCCGCGGCGTGAGCCCTCCCGGGAGCAGCAGCGCCCCCCGGCCGGGTGCAGAGAACAGGGGAGGGGACCCAGGCTTCCGGGACAGCAATGCAAGATGTTCCCATGCAACACTCTCCCTCCCCTCCCCTACTAATCCCTGCTCCGTCCACAGA